CACATAATCACGGCGCGAGGCAGGAGGTACGGACGAAATACACGGCGCCTCCTTCCCAGGTACCTGACCTGAGTTGATCTCTCTCAGGGCAGGCGTGCATTTCCCGCCCCGTGAAGAAGGAACGTCTGTGGAAGCTTACCTCAGGCGAGGCGAGGAGAGGAGGCAGGAAGCGGCGTGGGGTAAGGGCTGGGCGAGTGATGGAGGGCACCGAGGGGAAGGAGGGAAACGGGCCTAGACCAAACACAGCTAGAAGCAACGGACAGAGCGCGCCTCTCCCACCTGCCACTTCACACTTCGCACACAGAAGCCGCGAAATGGAGGAAGGACAAGAAGAAGCAGGCGCTGCAGGGCAGGTGCAGCTGCACCAACCCAACCCAACAGCTGCGGTGGAGGTGGGAACAGAGATTGGACGAAAACGGTCGCCGCCAACGCCAGCGCCAACGCACACCCGCACTAGAAGGAAAGGAGGAAGACAAAAAAAAAAAAAAAAAAAAAGAAGAATCACAGCAGAGGAAAGACACAATGGCCAACGCTCAAATTCCCATTCAACAAATCGAATCCCCGTCCTGGTCGGCAGCCACCACCACCGCCGCCGCCGTTATCACAATCACTAATCAGAACCAATACCAGCATCAGCACCATCAGACCGTCGACACCACAAGAGACATTGAGGTTTTTGCTTTTGTTTTGCTTCTGTATCGACGAGCGCTATCATGGGTCATGGACTATCGTGGGTACCCAGACCAGACCGACCCAGAGCAGCCGGAGCCAACCACAGCGACCGCATGACATTTCTTTTTATTGAATTCGCCATCGTCATCTCCTCTGCTTAAGCTGTCCCTGTCTCACCCCAAAGACAACGCAGACAGGCCCGAAAAGACAGGGAGCTGCCTGAATTGGGGTCTGCTGCAGAGTACTTCACCACCTCATCCTTCTTCAACCGGACAACCACCGTCGTCGCCGCCTTGTCAAGTTGTCGCTTGTCGCTTGTCGTACGCTCCACGACAGCAGCAGTCACTTGAGGTGCCCCCCGTCCGTTGCCTCGGTGCTTCCTCGCCGTCGCGTCTCACTGCCCGTCGGCCTGTCCTGTCGTGCAAGGTCTGACACGCCTGTCGCTGCACCGATTCAGATACGTACTCGTCAATTATTCGCCAGCGCCACCGGCCATGCAGCAGATGACTGCTGCCCTGCGAGATGGCCAGCTGTACCCGCCTGGAACCGGAGGCACACATACAGCTGCACAAATGCAGTATTTCTTTCGGCCCCGGGGGCAGAGCCAGACGAGAGAGAGGCAGAGGCAGAGGCGGTCTGCAGCAACAGCGAATGCATTTCCGTATCTCGGGGCCCAGAGAAGGGATGCATGCGGTACGGAGTACACATCTCCATTGATGCACCTGTGAGGATACAGACAGAGAGTACCGTACAGCCCCTCGGCCGCTCCATGCCATGCTCCTAGCCATGCCATGCTATGCTAGCCGTCCACTTCATCGTGTGTCTCTCAACAAGTCGGACAAATCAAGCTTCACCGACGGACGATACGAATACCGCGGTACATGCAACGACAGCGAACAACTGACAGGGCAGGCAGCGGTCCAGCCGACGCGCATCAGTCAAAAATTACCTCTGCTTCTGGCCGCTGGATGAGTTGGCATGCATAGCCTTTGGCCCTCTTGTTTTACATGCTCGGCCACCATGCTTGCTTGTCTGCGTCCTCTCCTCCAGACCAGACCCCAAGAGACCTCCAGCACCCACGACCACCAACCAACCGCACCGCACTGAGGGCTGCCCTGGTCGCCCGCTATCCAATCTGCGTCCTCCACGAGGCTGGCACGCCATGCCAACGCATCACAGGGCCCAATCAACCCCCGCCAGCCCAACCAGCATCAACCCACACCACCCGCTTCACCACCACCCTCGACAACCTCGACACCACTTCCCATCGCTGCAGCCAATCGCCCACTACCGAGCCGCTCTCCTGCCACCGTCCTGCACCTGCGACCCCGTCGCCGCCGCCGCACCAAAGGCCTGTCCAAATGCTGACCGGGGGGCTATCGACAGACCGACTGGTGAACCTCCAGCATCCATCCGACTTCCTGAACGCCGGACTGCACCACGAGAGGTCAATTGCAAAGGCCACGTTTCGGTCAAGTTCTTCAGCGCTGACTTCGCCTTCGTCGACACGCACTCACCGTTGATAGATATCCCTCTTACTTTGCCACATGACCGAGGTATTATCTCGGCCATCTAGGGGCAGGTATCCGCGCGATGCACGATAATTGGAGACGACAACGTCGCACATGACAAGAGGCCTCTCCAGCAGCAAACGCCATGCACTGGGCTCGCATTCACGACGCGACGTCTTCTCGATGCAACAGCTATCCCGCCCATTTCCACCCCATCTTCTGTGCCGCGTCTGGTGTGGGAGACCCGGCCTCTAAATTGGCCTCTACCACGCTGCTGGAAAGATCCAGCCACTTGCGCCGCCCGAGTGGTATCACGATGATTTCGTGCCACAACCGCCCGCCATCCCCTTGAAGATTCCAGTCACGGTACCAGAATACCCTTCCATCCCGCTTCTGGCCGCCGACAGGTCGCTCGTTCCATGCACGTCAGATTCGCCAGTCGACCACCTTCGTTCATCCGAAACCAAATTCCCCATTCGCCAAGTCGCCCCTTGTCCTTCCTGCGTCCTCCCGTCCCCGGCCACCCTATCGCGCCCAAGATGATGCGGGTCTTGCGAGTATTTTGAGGCCCCTTTTCTTGTTTATCTCGCATACGCTGTCCTCGTGAGGTTGTTCCTGCCCCCTCAAATCGTCCTTGCCCAAGGTATTGACCGGACCTGGATTACTGCCAGCCAAAGCAACCCAATGAGTGGATGCGGCCCCAGCCGTATCAAGATCTGGTCATCCCACACCGCGATTCGCTCGTGGGAGCAGCCGTTCCGGGTTCTTGACGAGTACCGAGTTGCATCAGCACGTGGAGGCAATGTGTCTTGGAACCAACCAATAAGTCGCCCAGCGACAACACGACGGGCCCGTCAGCCGACACATGACCTCTTGACGCAATCCTTCCCAATCCCCATTAACACCGCGTTCTTAATGGGCCATTGAGGTTAGGGCTGCATATGCCATCGCTGGGTAATCTGCACTCCCGGCGCTAGTCCACAGGCATCCGCCTAGTAATTGGCCCCATCGACGTTTCTGTCGTGTCACTCATGTTGTTGTCAGGGTTTCGGCGCGAGTTGCTGGGGGCTATGTAAACATTGATCTGCGTGAACCTGGTTGATTCGTCCGTTTGACTTCATGCCAGGTGTTCCAGAAGCGTTCTTGATCGGACTGTTCGGCGGTTTCCGCACAATCGCAAGAGCTGTACTCTGAACTGCGGATAAGCGGCCGTTGTGTTTCTCTTTCTTAGCCGCGGTCTCCTGTCCCAGAATGATTGACTATGATGTTGAAAGCCTTGGCAGTAAATGATTTGGGAAAGTGTCTCCAGATGAGTCTCCGCACACTGGTAGCCTTCGCAAGTTCATCTGAGTGCTCCTCTTCAGAGGGTCAGGGGCTATATTGACTAACACCGGTATATCCCGAAGCCTCCCCAAGCTTTATGGACATGAACATGGCTGAGTATGGGTTACTTTGGGGCCCCACAAGCGTTCATATGTTGCCAGATACTGGTTGTGTCGTTTGCCAACTTCCAACAACCACTGATGCCAAGGACTCACGGCGGAATCGTCATGCTCATTGCTCACAAACCAATCCAATATAACTTCATGGGAACAGTTGCACGTCTTGATGATGCTCGCCTGCAACTTGATGTGGGCAAACGAGTTGGAGTTCAGATGGGGTCGTCGTAGGAATCAAACTTGCTACTTTTGGGACCAAGAGTGTGTTGATGTGTTGAGGGGCCTTGTTTACTCTATTCTTCCAGGCCAGGAAAGAAGAATCACGCTCAAACTTCTGCTCGGAGTGTCCAACGTTCTGGGATCCTACTCTGGTGACGATACAAAGCGCCATGCAGGGCGCAGGTGAAGCATCATGATCGACGCGGGATATCAGCGCTGGGTGTATTCGAGAAGTTCATGATGCGTGCGCGCGAAGTATGCGTGGAACGTCATATTCTCAAGTGGCATATGACGGAGGAACGAGTGTGCCAAAGGTGAAGGCCTAGAGGCTTTAGGTCCATGCGATGTATCAGGGGTTCAGTATGCCAGTAGAAGTATTCTGCAACATCTGATAGCGTTTTGACGTGGTCTGAGTTGCTTGAAGCTGTTATCACCATCGCAAGAAGGGAGAAATTACACGCTCCGAGGCATATTTACACTGAATCCGTGTCGTTCACTCAACTCGAAGGAGTCCCTGGTTGAAGAAAGATGGCCAGCGGACTAGATAGTATCAATCGGATCGTGAGAACGAGAGAGGATGGCAGGGAGGGGAAGCCTTTGAAAAGAGGCGTCACTTACTGCGCCGTGTTTGAATGCTTCACGCTGCGGTACCAGATCGAATGAACGAAACACACCATAGCAGAGAATGTCGTCAAAGGAGACTGTGATTCAACCAAATCACATAGTTCGTGGCACAGCTCACCGGGGGCTATAAGACTAAAATGAGTTATAGCATCGTACGAGCGAACATTCTGCAACTGCCAATGTCGTTGTTTGCCGGTACGGCTGACGTCGTGGTGAATGAAGCAGGAACTTCATCACTGAGATGATGATGCGGGTGGTCGACGATCTGACACCAGTTGTACTCATAGCCCTTCAACATGACGCGGCGTGTGGAAACTGTCAAATTGGTCAGCATCAATAGATAAAATTCTGAGTGCTATAAGGTCCTGAGATATTGATGTTTCGATCATGTCACTACGGCCAGGCTCGCTCGAGGATCACTGGAGAAACTGAACAGTCCATATCAGAGAACAAGTCAAGAAAGTCGCTGGCTCACATCGGATATATGTTCATAGTTGATTAACAATTATAATTATAGAAAGAGTCTAAAAACTATTTACTGGAACGTGGCCGTGTACCTCTTACCGACCGTCGTCCCATTTCCAACAGACTTATCCTGATATATCGACATGACATCAGTGCTGTTATCATACTCCACGCCGCACTTCTCCGAGAACCCGGTAAACCTCTCCACGCGGTCCTGGATGTACGTCTCAAACCCGCTGCGCGAGCACGTCGTGCCGGGCCCGTCCGCGCAATCCGGCAGCGGCTGCGGCGAGCTGTTCACCAGCACGCGGTAGTACTCCCCGTCCTCGTACCCGTAGCTGCCGGTGCAGTTCAACCTCTCGATCGCGATGTTGCTCAGGAACGACAGGATGTTGGAGCTGCGCCACGCGCGGCGGTAGTTGATCCTGTCGAGGGGGAAGGTCGCGTTGATGTCGGCCGCGGCGCCGAAGCCGGGCTCCGAGTTGTTGAAGAGCCCCATCGCGACGAGGACCATGGGCGGCATCTCGCGGTGGGTGAAGCTCACGTACAGGTCCTCGTCGGCGGCGTCGCCCATGAGCAGGTTCGCGGTGGCGTTGAGCCAGGGCATGCCGACGTAGGGGGCGACGTTGTTGCCGTAGCCGACGTTGTAGTGGTAGCGGATGTCCTCGGTGTACTCCCAGCCGAGCCAGTCGTCGGGCGTGAAGAGGTCGAGGTCGCAGAAGGGGGAGCGGCCGCGGATGACGGTCTCGTAGCCGCACAGCTGCTGCATGCCGAAGACGTCGTTGACGGTGAAGTTGAAGTCGGACGCGAGGGCGTTGAGGCGCTTCGTGATGGGGGTCGCGAACTTTTCCTGGAATTTCCCGGACTGCTCGCTGCCGGCGGAGGAGGAGTAGGCCGGACAGGCCTTGTAGGGGGTCAGGCTGTCGGCGCCGGACTCCTTGCTTTCGTAGATGGAGACGACGTTCATGGTGTCGTCGTCGATCTCGAGGCCGCGCACGAGGGACTGGGCGGACTTGTAGGTGCGCTCGGCGGAGGAGGTCCAGACGCGCTGAGGGAGCTTGAGGTTGGGGTAGCGGAACTCGAGGTCGACGCCGAGCTGGGTGGCCTCGAGGCGGCCGACGCGGGTGAGGATGGAGGTCTCGGCCTCGGAGACGGGGGCGTCCCAGTCGGCGAGGAAGCTGAGGGAGGGGACCTTGGACCAGTCGAGGCTGGTCTTGTTGCCGAGCTTCTCGAGGAAGGGCTCGATGTACTCCTCAAAGTCGAAGTCGTTGGCGTAGATGGCGGCATGGCGGACGAGGTAGGCGGCGCGGGATGCGGTGCAGCCCTGGGGCGCGTCGGGGGATGCCGGGGGGTCTTGGGGCTCGAAGTACGGTGCGATGCCGCCGAGATGCTCCAGGGGGTTGAATTTGTATGTTGAGTAGAGCGTTGATGCTGAGGTGTAGGCCACGAGGGGCAGGAGGTGGAGGAGCTTGCCGGCCATTGTGGTGTAAGTTCGCACTCAGGCGATGGGGTATCACTAATCGCACTTCGGTAAAGACAGCGGAGAGGCTTTGGATTTTCGCCAAATGGCTTGGCAAGAGATTGGAAAGAGAGCCCGAAGGAGATTTATACGACCATGCCGGGCATCTCGACCAGGGCTGCGTTCAGTAACGGTGAGATCATTGAGGAGCCCGGAAAGGTGCTGCTGAGTGAGTGAGTGGAATGAATGAGATGGAATGGATCCTGGTCCTGGCCCTGGTAGCGGGAGCCGGGTGCAAGCAGTGGCAGCCAGCCCACTTTTACCCCCCGGTCCCTCCGACGGACTCCGACGTCACTGGCCGTTGTTTTCTGGGCCCTAACGACCGCCGCCCACACGCTATTCGCACTGGACCACCAGCCGGCGACCAGCCCAGAGGCGAGCAACCACGCGGCGCGGGGCCTAGGCCTTCTTTGTCTTCCCCACATTCAGCAAGCCTGCTTTTCTCTCTCTCTTTCGTGCCTGGCGGCTCTGCTCTACGTCATGACGTTGGACGAACAGCCTCCAGGCATACATGATCATCGGCAGGCAAACGTGTTGCGGCTCTCGCGATTGGTGACCACTCTCTCCCGATGGCATTGCTGAAAATTTCCGGGGGGGCCCCAAGGTACCGAATGCGCTGGATTGGTCGAGAATCTCGGCAGTCTGATGATCGCTACGTAAGGCCCGTCTTGATGCTGTGCTATGCGACCACAACAGACCGAGCATCGCAATGTCTCTAGATTGTGCTGCTTCGAGCGTCAATCAGGTTTGCGGCGCGAGGCATCTTCATGCGGGGGGATGGTTGACGCCATCATTCAGCCGTTCGGTTCACTGGGGGAACTTTTCGTATTCGTTCATCTGACGACCGCGGCACGTAATCAGTTCGGACGGTGCCTGTGCGCAGAAGGTGGTGCTTATTTTGCGATGATAGGCTTGGCGATTACTTTAGCATTTCTGCTCGAGAACTCAATCTCAGCTTCGTTGAGGCTGAAAGTGAACTGAAAGGCGAAGTTGGGCTGTACGAAGCAAACAAAGGAGGCTGTTTCTTCGGGGCATAACACATAATTCCCCGGTCGATCGCCATGCAGGCACGGCAGCCATTGCAATGCTACCCGCCCATCCCCCGTCCTTGGCGCTCTCCAGGGCTGGGTGCGACCGATGGATATGAGGTTGGACGGAGCAAACAGTCCGCGCTGCGGTGGGAAATGCAACCTGCTGTCTGAAGTGCTGTCTCCTTCTTCAATCAGTCGGCCAAACGCAGAGCGAGGAAACGAGGAATTTTATGTTTATGATCCGATGCACCAAAGCCCTCGGAATGCTTGCGCAGAGGCAACGCTTCAACCCGAGAAATGCGACTGCACCCAGCGAGGAAATAGTGGCACAGCAACAAAACACAGTGAGACATCCGTCTAGGGTGGGTGAATAAAGTTTCACAAATTCCAGCGGGGGCTGCTGGCATACATAGCTCCCAACCCAGCCAACACTCCATATGGCTGTTCTTAGAAAAGGCCAAGGCAGCCCGCAGAAAATTCATCGCTGCGGCAGTCGTGATAGAGGGAAAATTGTCCTGCCTCACGTACAACAAGCGCGGCTTTTGCGTCAAGTGCACGCAAAAGCCCCAGTCGCGCGGGTGTGAACAACTGACACCGCGCAGCAAAGACCTGGATGAAACATTTCCGGCTCCCGGGTCCGGGTCCGACTCACAGACCTAATCGTAGCCGCAAGCGACCCCTCCGAGTCTTTCTCGGTCTCCGACCCCCTTGCCGAGACTGCGTCAATGGAGCCACTCCGGCGCCCCAGCCCCCGCAAACCGCCCGTACGGCCCGCATCCCCGGCTCGCGGTACCGGCGAGCTACCTTAGGTGAATGAACACCAGCCGTCTCTCCCACCGGACCAGCGCATCAAAGACAACGATGAATCCGCAAGTTTAATTGGTGTTTAACTCAACGGCGTTGACTTCCTCACCTATGAGAGCTTGCGACGTGAGTGGGAACGCTGAGCGCATTTGCGCAAGTTGACCCATCCTCCCTCCCATGCACCGCTTGACACGTCGGAGGCAAGCCAGCAAGGTTCTCATCTCTGAACCCCCGACCCCGGCGGTCGGCAGCACTTCAAAGTACCGTCACCGCCTCCGTCACCCATCACCACCACAAACGCCGCAACCACCGTGAACTTTTCCCACCACGCAACACCGACTGCCATGACCATCCGGCGCCACGGCACAATGCTCTCCCCGCGCGCCCTCGCCACCGCCGCCCAGCTCGCGCTCCCCTTCCGCTTCGCCCCGCCGCAGACGTACCACCCGGCCTCCAACCCCGACGGCCTCATCTCCTTCGCGCTCGCCTCCAACGCGCTCGTCCTGCCCGCTGTCGCCGCCGTCGCCGCCTGCACGCCGCTACGCGAGGACGTCTTCACGTACGGCTACAGCACCGCCGGCGGCGCGCGGCTGCGGTCTGCGCTTGCGGCGCACCTGAATCTGAGCTTCAACCCGTGTTTTGAGATTACGAGCGAGCATGTGCAGCTCGCGAGCGGCGCGACGGCGGTGCAGCACGTGCTTGCGTTCGCGCTGGCCTCGCGCGGCGAGGGGATCTTGACGAGCCGGCCGGTGTATGGGCGCTTCGAGCTCGATTTCGGGAACGAGATGGGCGTGGAGGTGGTGTATGCCGAGACGACACCGGAGAACTGTTTCGACGCGGACGTGGTGGACCGGTTCGAGGAGGCCGTGGCGCGGGCGGCGGAGCGGGGTGTGAAGGTGCGCGCTGTGATGATTGTGAATCCGAATAACCCCCTGGGACGGTGCTACCCGCGCGAGACGCTGGTCGAGATCATGAAGTTCTGCGGGAGGCATAGGATTCACCTGATTAGCGATGAGATCTACGGGCTGTCGGTATTTTCGGACGATCTCACGACGTTTACCTCGGTGCTTTCGATCACGCCGGAGGAGGGGATGATCGATCCCGACCTGGTGCATGTGGAGTACGGGCTGGCCAAGGACTTTGCGGCGCCTGGGCTGAGGCTTGGAGCGTTGGTGTCGAGGAACCGGGCGCTGCATGATGCGTTCAAGAGTGTGGTGAGGTTCCACTCGCCCGCGGGGCCATCTGTGGCGATTGCGTCGACCATGTTGGAGGATCGGGCGTGGCATGACGAGTTCATTGCGCTCTCGAGGGGGAAGCTCAAGGGGGCGTATGAGTTTGCCACGGGGATGTTGAGGAGCTTGGGGATTGATTATCTAGAGGCGAATGCTGGGTACTTTGTGTACATCAACTTAGGGCCGTGGTTGCCACCCAAGGAGTCTGGGACCGATCAGGAGAGGGAGTTTGCGTTGGCAGAGAAACTCGTGGACAACGGGGTGTTTTTGCATCCCGGGGAGGAGCATTGCCTTGAGCCTGGATGGTTCCGCGTCGTTTATTCGCAGGACGAGGGGATTGTTAGAGAAGGTATGAGGAGGATCGGACAAGCATTGAATGGCGTACCGTGGGCAGCGCCCAAAGTCAACGTCCAAAGATTCAACGTGCAGGGTACATAGCTTCACGCAGCGGATTAATGATGAAAGAATGAATCTATGTTCAGGTGAATAAAAATGTACAACGCCCCAGACGGGATTAAGAAATTAAGCAATAAAGTCATGTACATGCTCGCCGGTCGTGACTTTCGAATCTCATGGGCTCGCTCTCATTCCAGCTTCTACCAGTAGGTCTTCTGGAAGCGGCGGTTGAACTGTCGGCCGGGGCGAGGGCCCTTGGGACCACCGCGGGGAGGCTTGGGGCCACCGTGACCGTTACCGCGGCTGGGGGTCTTGGTCTGGTTGTAGGTCTCCCACTCGTACGAGGCGAACATGAAGGGGCCGACGCCCTTGTAGTCGTTGGCGGCCAGCTCGACACCGGTGTAGTACTCGAAGCTGGCGTCGCTGTTTAGGGAGCCGACATAGACGGTGCCCTCCCAGTTGACGGTGCCGTTGGCGTTCTCGGTGACGAAGTCGGTGAGCTTCTGGTAGCCCTTGGCCGCGGCGGGGAAGAACTTCTGCTCGGGGATGAGGCCGAGCTTGGTGCCCTTGAGGAGGGCAAAGGTGAAGAGGGCAGAGGCGGAGGACTCAATGTAGTTGGCGGGGTTGCCGACGTAGTAGGGGTCCATGATGAGGTACCAGCCGCCGGAAGCGTCCTGGGAGTTCTTGAGGCCGTCGGCAAGGGTGATGAAGTAGTTGCTCAGCTTCTCAATGCCGGGGTGGCCGCGGGGCAGGAGCTGGATGACCTCGAGGAGGGCGACGGCGTACCAGCCGACGGCACGGGACCAGATGAGAGGAGAGGCACCGGTCTCAGAGTGCGCCCAGACGGCGGTCTTGGTCTCATCGAAGCCGTGGTACAGGAGGTTGAGGGTGGTGTTGCGGGTGCGGCGGTCGATGACGTCGAACTGGTTGATAATGTCGTTCCAGGCGGTGTTGTTCTTCTTGTCGAAGAGGGAGGTCCACTTGGCGTAGAAGGTGTCGGCCATGAAGATGCCGTCGAGCCACATCTGGTGGTCGTAGATGGGGTGACGGTGGACGAAGCCGCCCTCGTCGGTACGGGGGTGGTGGGCAAGCTCGTCGCGGATGATCTTGGCGGCGGTCTTGTACTTCTCCTCGCCGGTGTGCTCGTACCACCAGAGGAGGTTGTTGCCGATGCGGTACTCGTCGAGGGAGTAGCTGCCAGACTTCCAGTTGGGAATGCTGCCGTTGGAGAGGACGACGCGCTCGTCGATGCGGCCGCGGTACCAGTCGAGGACGGTCTCGTTCTTGGTCAGGGCATAGGCCGCCTGAAAGCCGTCGTAGAGGACAGCCTTGGTGTAGTGGTAGGGCTTCTTGTTGTCGATCTCGTGCTGGGTGAAGGAGTCGGCGGTCCAGGCCAGGTAAGGGCCGGCAGCCGCCGCGGCGGTCGCGAAGAAGAGAACGGACTTCATTGTCGCTGCGTTCTTGGTTGTCTTAAAGAGTGACTGATCGAACGGTGTCGAGTTGGAAAGATTTTTTTTGAGTGACGGCAGCGTGAGTGAACCGAAGCTGAGTCGCCAAACTGGGCAAACGTTGGTCACTGCTGGGAAGACGCGTCCTTATATCGAGATCGGAATCAAGCCGGTTCGGTAGCACCAGCGGTGGCCATGGTGTTGGCGGATGTGGCCCCGGGAGGGTCGGGGTGATTAGGGACGACGGTGGGGGTGTTTGCCAAGTTCTTGCTCGCCCCAGTTCCCTATCAATGATCACCGAGCGAGCAAATGAGCATGGCCAGATGCGAGTAAGACGGGGTTTGCAGAAGTTGCGGTCTTGGGGACGGGGTGTACGGGGGTCAGTCATGGACCGGGGGCAGCAAGATCCAGGAACCGGTGCTCCATCTTGACCATGTCGGCGATTCTACCATGCGGCTATCAGCACGTCCGCGGGTGATCAGCGAAGAATTGTTTGGCAACAGGTATCGTTGCATTGAACCCCCGAGGGTCATCTCCGCCCATGGCAGCCGGAGGATGGAAAAATAAGGTCCGGATCCAGTCGTGGGCTGCGTCTTGTTGAGGCTCCCCGCTGCGACTCTTGGCGAACGTCTTGGCACGCCGCAAGAAAATGAGAAAGGCCGCGGGCAGAATTGGCAGAATTGCAACATACCCGGCGGATGGCAGTCAGCACACCTTCTCGATCAGTTTAAACTTATGGGCCTTGTGCCGCAGGTAAAGGCCAACCGTTGGCAGCGGGCGGTGAAAAGGGCATCTGATGGGCGTCGTAATTCGCCAATTCGCGGTGTTGGTGCCACCGCGGGCGTGATGTGGGCATCCTGTGCCTTGCGCCATGCGTATTCGCCTCTCTCCCTTCATCTCTCTCCAATCCGCTGTGCCTGACGGTCAATAAACGAATAAACGACCCCACGTGGAATGCGACTCTGGCTGCACTCGTGCGATTTATTGAGGTCTTGGTGTTGGCCGCATGCGGGCTTCTCGAGGCATACGGATATGATTGACGCCCTTGGGACGGGCCAACGGGCCTGGAGGCGCGCCGAGCCGGACAAACTGCTCAGTCGAGAGAGATACGTAAACTGTAAGTTCGTCCCGTGCGGAATTCCCACCAACAGAGCGGCGTTGTGGGTTCTGGGCTTTTCTGCAGAGATGCCTGAATATTGGTCCATGTTGCGCAATCTGAGGCGATTTCCTCGACGAGTCCTGCAATCAGTCGAGTCTGATCCAAGTGCAATTTCTGCCCAGGTCCGTACCTCAAGCGAGCAAATGGGATGGCCTTGTCCAGTGTTGGTGGCAAACGACGTTGAAATAAACCATGACCGTTGACAGAGGCCATCAAGTTGAGACGAAGCCGATCGTGGACGGCGCGGGCATCCGAACAAAGGGCCAGTCAGGACAATAACAAGGACATTGTCGAAGTCTTGGCTCCCGACCAATGCGACTTTGGCCGGTTGATTCCGAGAGAACAGACAAAGGATGTCTTCTCCGCATGAGCATCATCCAGGGCCTGTTTCAAGATGAAAAGCAATTGTCGATTCCATTTGGCATTTGGTGGTGGTGCCAAGACTTTCTGGCTGAGATTGGGGGTGACGGGCTGAGCCACGCCCACCGAAGGCCTGCCGGGGGTGTGCTGCACAATAAAAAACAAAGGAGGGCGCCCGTCTGCTGAGATTCTTCGATCCACATGGGCAGAAAATGGCGAGAGACCAGCGCGACGAGTCGTTGCTTTTTGCGTCGGCTGACAACCGGCATGGTGGGAGGACGTGGCTGACGTATATACTATAAAATTTCGAGCGACGGCTAGCCTTTTTTCGACGTGCAGTCAAAAAGCGAAAACGACGATGAAATAAGGTGCCAACGACAGATGGACCGTCGAAACCTTGTGTAGGGAGCCCATGTTCTACCTAAATCGAGGAAACAAAAGGGGGTTCGGTTTTGTGCCTGAGGTGAGGTGCGTTTTCCAATTTTTTAGATTCTGTCGCGCAGCGTCGGGGATCATCCGCCCCTGAAAGAGACAAACTCCGTTGGACTTGCTGAATCAGCGTCCAGATGCGGTAGATAGTGGATCTGCATTCTTATCGGGACTTAGCGCCAAAAGCGAGCCGTTCTGTGGGGTGCTGCAGCCTGGAGAGAGGGCCGTCGCTGCAGGGACGCTGCACTGTGAATGACGGCAGAGGTCTCACCTGGTGGTCCAAGCTCCTTCGTGTCACTCACCTGTCAACTGAACGGCCGCGGCAGGTATTGACCTCCAGGTATCTTACAGCGTTCACCTCCCTAAAACACGGACCGGAACATCTTGCAAACCAATCAGGAGCAGGGTTCGATCCTGCCGGTGCAACATCACCAGGGGTTTAACAACCGATTTAGAGCTCCATTGAAAGGAACAGGCAACAGCTGGCGCGAGCTTGAGACACCACGAGACGATTGGATGCCGTGAGGCTATTCTGAATCACCGACTCGACTTCATCTCCGTCTACAGATACCTAGGTAGGTAAGGTACCTTGACAAGAGACTGACCTACTGCTTCCTGTGGAAAGCGCGTCCAGTAACGCCCCCGCTTGACGGTTCCTGCCTAAACTTTACATCTCAACCTTTTAGGAAAGCACGCCTTAACTCAAGCTCTCAGCCGCGCCTTCCTCGCTTTGACCTTCAACTCAACTTCATCTCTACCTTCTTCTTCTCCATCGTCGTCGGTACTGCTCTCATTATCCTTCTCTACCGCTGCCGCTCCTCGCCGGGCCTGTCGCCCCTTTCTGTCGTCGCTCTCGTCGTCCTTTGGCGTCCTCCGGCGTCGTCTCCATACCATCGCCACCATGTCGCAACCGGCAACCACGCTGCCGTCGCGGCCGTCGTCGCCTACAACCCCCTTCAGCAAGGTGCCGATCGAGGTCCTCCTACGTATATCCTCGTACCTGACGACGCCCGAACTGGGCAATCTTCGATTGACGTGCAAGTCCATCGAACAATCCCTGTTCAACACCTTCATGAGAGAGTTCTTCACCAAGCGGCAGTTCATGCTCACAGAACAGAGCTTGCAAGCCCTGGTCGATATCAGCAACTCTCGTCTGAGCGACTGCCTCGACCACGTGGTAATAGGGCTCGATTTCTTCGACTACCGCCGTTTCTCGCCCATGGAAGTGGCCCAAGAGAACGCCTACCGCCAGGCCTACGCGGACCATCGCACCCTTGTCAGCAGTGGCCAGGATGTAGTAATGCTCACCGAGGCCTTCCGGAATCTGAAGAACCTCCAAACCGTCGGAATTCGAGACTATCACTCACGCGAGCGTGAGCATCGTGATGGCTTCGGCGCCACCTGGGCAAGCTATGGAGCTACTACCATCCGCAAGGAGACCGGCGTTGACCTTTTGGCGAAAACCAATACTCAAGAAGCCCAGGAATACGCCAATAAAGTCATGATCACCCTATTCACAGCTCTTGGCAACGCCGGGGCCCGCCCAAAGACATTCGAAATGCTCCGTCGACAATCGTGCATCCCCAACGACAATGCCTTCAACCTCTTCACCAATTACCTTAAGCCTAAGGTCGTCCCTGTCCTTGAGGGTCTCCAGACGTTTATCCTGGTTGCAAACGTCGGATCCGGTCCTAATAGAGGCATCGCTGTCCCCATCCCTGGCCAACCGACGCAGAAGGATCACAATCGCTACGACTACCTGTTGTGCCACTTCCTCACGCACCTCACGAATGTCAAGCATCTACGCATCAACTTCTTTAACGCACGTGGCGGTATTGAAAAGCTACTGAACTGGCTGTCGTCGCCGTCGCCGTCGCCGTCGCCGCCGTTGTTGTCGTCGTCGTCGTCGGCGGCGGCATCCCCGTTGAAGTCGCACCCGCACCCGCACCCGTCGTCGCCGTCTCCGTCGTTGCCATCGTCGGCAACGTTGACGCCTCCCGCCACTGCGCCGATGTTAGCACTTCCGCCGTCCCCAAGCTTTGCTTACCTAGAGGAGCTTAATTTTGGCTTCTGCGATGTCGAAACCAAGGCTCTCCTTGACGTTGTGCGCAAATTTGCCGCTAAACTTAAGAGGCTTGAGCTGTACCGGGTCACCCTCATTAACCGTCAACCACATAATCCCAACGACACTGGCGATGATTTTCGTGCCCGTTATAAGTTCAATGTGTGGGCCAAGATGCTCAAGAGCCTTCGGGAAGTCCCTGGGCTGGATTTAGAGCACATTAAGATCGCCCTACCCAACCAGATCTCAGCTGGAATGCATGCCCGCGTGTCATTCTATGGGAAGGGCAGCAACGAAAAGGAGGCCCCTGCGCAAGAATACACCGGTATTGACTGGAAGCACTATGTGGGCGAATTGGCTCAGCGCGTCAAACCGGACCCCCCTCCGTCCTATCCGGGCTACGACGACGACGGCGACGACGACGACGATGAGGAGGACGACGAATTCGATACCGACGTGGGCGACATGATGGATGGTAAGTTCTCTCTCTGCCCCCTCCACCCCGTGCTTCTTCCTCGTCCCTCTTCCTCGTCCTTTCTCGTCCTCCCCGTTTCCCTTGTCCTCGCCTTCCCATACCGGACCCTTCCCTTCGTCTCCTCTAACTTGCCTATGTCATCATCTTGCCTGTATCCCGTTATTCTCCCCGATCTCATCAATCACCCTTCCTCCGTTCGCTAACTCTAACACTTCCCTTTCAGATGCAGATGAGGTAGATGACGAAGAATAGAAGCACTAAGCTGACAACTCCCCAGAAGAGTTCATGATGATGAATGGCTACTATCCAGACGACATAGTAGACGACCTTGACGACTTTGAGGACATGTTGATGTTTGAAACGTATGGAGGACTTTTCGGGTGATGATGGTGGATCGCCGTAAAATAATGAGATACTGGAACATTGGCTCTGCTGATGAACGAGCGATTGTTTTGCCACCACATTGTCTAATTTCATTGCTACCTTTTACGTGAAAATTCCCCTCCTGACAATATTGAGAGATGGATGTATTCGTGAGTAGTGCGGAGGTCTGCACGTGGTCGTTGTCCCATCCCCAAGTAAGGGTCGTCTGTACTGATAACACGGTGAGGCACAGCACCTAGAGCCTCAGCTGCCTAGAACACGAATAGCTTCATTTCATCCTGGGGTGACTTCCCTCGCCGAAAGCAAAGAAAGAGGCTGGATGCCACAGGGAAAAGAGACCGTCCGGCCATGGATCTTCGCAAAAGGTCGCGACGCCATCCATGGACTCATCTCCATGGCCAGGCAGGAGGCTCCATTTGTCGGGTCTTTCCACGGCTCAAGTCGAGCTTGCGGGAGCTTGGCGGCTTCAATGGCACGTGCGCCAGGCACCAGCGGCGTTGGTGCCTGCTGTTCCATGTTGGTTGTGACGAAAGGTGCTGAAAGCGTGCACCTCCCTAGCACCTACCTGGGTAGCTCAGGTCGCGCTTTCCCTCGCTGGTAGCTTCCTCCATCTTCGTGTTGGAAAGGTACGGGCTGACGGGGTTTCTCTGACCAACACAGAAATAAAATATATTCTCGCGATCCCTTCTTCCCTCTCCTTCGTCCATCCCGTTCTGCGTTCAACTTCATCCTTATCCTACCTCACGCTGCGTACTGCACTCAATCGAACTCAATCGTACCCAGCGGTCATCCCTGTGACGTTCGCCCCTCCCTTTTCCTTGTCCCTTCTCCGCACTCGCCCACAATGCCCCCAAGAAGATCGGGCAGGACAGCTGCTGCTGCTCCAGCAGCCCCAGCAGCTCAACCCCTCGACGGAGCCTCGATCGCCATCAGCGGTACTTTCACCCAGAAGCGCGCCGAGATCGAGTCGCTTCTGACCTCGCTGGGCGCGACCATCGCCAAATCTGTCTCCAAAAAGACGACGCACCTCATCACCACCCAAGGCGATTTCAACGCGAAAACCACAAAGGTCGCGGCCGCAGAGAAGAACAACATCCCCATCGTCAGCCTGGAGTGGGCCCAGGAATGCGAGTCCACGGGGTCCAAGGCCCCTGAGGACGACTTTGCCATCACCAGCGGCAGCCAGTCCAAGATGCCCCAGCCAATGCAGACCCCTGTTCCTGCTCCTGTTCCTGCAGCCAACGGGTCCCAGAACGGAGCTTCGTCCCAGGCCAGTGCTTCACAGAACGCCTCTCAGTCGCAGCAGTCAGCCCCCGCGACCAAGGCCAACGGAAAGAAGCGCACCAAGGCCGCCGCCGCCGCCGCGCAGTCTGACAATGAGAGCGACGCGCCTCCTGAGCCCAAAAAGAAGAAGACTACTGCCAATGGCGCCGCCAAGGGAAAGAAAGCTGCTGCTGCTGCTACCGCATCTTCCGTTGATGTTGACGACAAGACCGACGTGAAAACCAATGTGAAGAAGGAAGCCGCTGATGGCCAATCCGCTAAACCCAGCAAGAAGATTGTTGTACCCGTTGACGAGGGCTGCACCGTTCCCGGCGCTGTCTATATTGCCCCCGATGGTACTATTTACGACGCGTCTCTGAACCAGACCAACGCTTCGAACAACAATAACAAGTTCTATCGCGTTCAGGTATGTTGATGTCTGCACATGCAGCCAAATTCTCGCGTACATGGACCGAAGCTGACCTTGCTAGCTCATTGAAAACGGGTCAGTCTACAAGACCTGGACCCGATGGGGCAGAGTTGGCGACCATGGCCAGAAGGCGATTCTCGGCAACGGCACTTTGGATGATGCCCTGAAGCAATTCGACAAGAAGTTCAAGGACAAGAGCGGATGGAGCTGGGCCGATCGCACCAACGACCCCAAGTCTGGCAAGTACGCTTACATCGAGCGCAATTACGAGGATTCCGACGATGAAGGTGCCGATGACGCCGATGACGCCGATGCCACCGTCAAGACCGAGGACGCCGACGAGAAGAAGCCTGACGCGATTTGCACCTTGGAGAAGCCCGTTCAGGAGCTCATGGGTCTCATCTTCAACATGGGATACTTCGCATCAGCCATGTCGTCCATGGACTATGATGCTAATAAGCTGCCCCTTGGAAAGCTCAGCAAGAACACCATTCTTCGTGGTTTCCAGTCGCTCAAGGACCTGAGTGCCTTGATCAATGACCCGTCACTTGCCGACTCCAAGTACTCCATGACTGTCGCCGCCGCGACTGAGCATCTGTCCAACCAGTTCTATTCTTTAATCCCTCACGCTTTCGGCCGCCGCCGCCCGCCCATCATCAGTTCCGGGGACATGCTCAAGAAGGAACTCGACCTCCTCGAGAGCTTGTCGGACATGAAGGCTGCCTCCGATCTTATGAAGATCGATCGCAAGACCATCTCCAATGTCCACCCCGCTGACACCCAGTACCGAAGCCTGGGAATGAACGAGATGACTCCTCTCGACCACAAGAGCAAGGAATTCAGCCTACTTTCAGATTATCTGAACGGCTCTAAGGGCTCTACGCACCATGTTAACTACAGGGTACAAGAAATCTTCCGCATCGAGCGCAACGGCGAGTTGGAACGCTTCGAGAAGAAGAAGATCCCGAATCTGAAGTCAGACCGACGTCTTCTCTGGCACGGCTCTCGTGTCACAAACTTTGGTGGTATCCTCAGCCAAGGTCTTCGAATCGCCCCTCCTGAGGCCCCCGTCACCGGATACATGTTCGGAAAGGGTATTTACCTCGCAGACATGTCATCTAAGTCTGCCAACTACTGCAACTCGTACAGCTCTGGAGGCGAGGCACTCCTCCTCCTTTGCGAGGCCGAGCTTGGCGACCCGATCCAGAAGCTCACCAACGCAAGCTACAACGCAGGTGACAGCGCTAAAGCCGGCGGTATGCTTTCGACTTGGGGCCAGGGCAGAACGGGCCCGAGCAAGTGGATGGACGCCAGCGCCGTTCACCCTTCGCTTAAGGGCATTCAGATGGTAAGTCACTGCTAGCTCGCGGCTGCTGCATCCTTTTTGCAGTCGTTATGTTATCGTTGTTGAGCAGATTGTGCTAACCTACCTGTAGCCTGACACGACCGTCACTCCTGGCGACACCAACGTCCAACATGCAGGCCTCTACTACAACGAATTCATCGTCTACGATGTGGCTCAAGTTCGTCTCCGCTACCTGTTCCGAGTCAAGATGTAGACCTCGATCAGGTCGTAGCGTACACAACCGCGAGATGATACTGAGGTATTAGATGTGGTGAAAACGACACAGAACTCGACGTAGTTGCGGCGCTATGAATGGATTTAGTGGAAATGGGTCCTGCACGTATTTCCGAGGTTTCATTTTGTTGTAAAGCTTGCTATGATGGGTAATGGGGTGCAGGTACTGGCGTTAGGTAGTGTGCAGCTAAAAGGGCCAATTCGACTTGCTTAACTCTTGAACTATCTACGGTCATTAATGTACACGCGGACTGACACAGTCTTCCGAGTCTTGAGCCTTGTAGTTGCTTTTCTTGAACCTGATGTGCAATGCTGAGATTTAGCGCCATATTTGCGAAGCCCCAGATAGCTTGCCTAGATCAATTTACGAGAGTTGGTCCAACAAAATAAGTAGCCCGGCGATGCGGTCGCTGGCAGGGGCCACGTTTGGTTCGCGGAGCAGACTTTACAAGGGTTTAGCGCGCGACTGCGCAGCAATTGTATGCCAAGTCGTTGGTTCGGTGCCATCCGCGGCGGCTAAGTTACGACCCGACATTCATAAGTCAAGGGGTTGCCGGCGAACAACACGGCCCACAGCTCATGCTCCTCTTCCACTGGCACTTCTCTTTAGACCTCAGCTACAGCTTTCTTAGAAGCCATGCGCATTTTCCCACTCAACCGTCTCTGGCGCCGGTCCAGCAAATCAGCCTCTCGGCCCTCTCCCACAGCTGAACCCAAGAGATCGCGAGGGCAACACGAGCCGCAGACGTTCGAGACGGAGTTTGTCTATCATGGCATTGACTTTCAGAGGATGTTTGAACGCTTTCACCCGGACTTTGAAGAACTTTTCTTTACAATCATGGAGGCCTTTGATGGTTTGTCGGAAGATAATATGAAGGATAGGACACAGGAAGTTGTGGGCGCAGCACAGAAAGCTTGGGTTTCATACGTCGAGGAGGCGCAGAAAGACAATGAACCCGGCCAACGAGTGGAGATGTGGGAGTTCTGGGACATTTATACGCGGATGGTCAGCTGCGTGCCATATCGTCACATTGGGCAGCGATTGCTCACCGACGTTGTGCTGGAGCTGGAGATCATTGGAGAGGAGGTGAGATGCCTGCGGAGGGATTATGCGTGTCTATGTTTCAACGCTAATTTATTCGATCTCGTAGACTGAGGACTCGGCGTGGAAGGACTTGCCTGAGCTTGGACAGACATTGAGAGAGGGGTGGAATGACGGTGAGACTTCCCTACGTAAAGCTGTAGCCGATGTTTTCCTAACAACTGGGGATAGATCCAACGCGTACGGATCTCTCCATGGACGGATGTACTCTGGAGCATTGGCTCAGTTTCAACGCCTGGTTCGCGCGCCTGGTTGGGAGCGGGCCGAAGCGAGCACTGAATCTCATGCTGTGGTCGATAAAGGAGGGTCTCGAAAAGAACCTAGAGAAGCTCGCAGGGGACCTGGAGAGCGAGAGGAAAAGGCGCAAGGGAGAGTTTGAAGAGGATCTGAAGGAGAGGGAGCAGCAAAGAACGAAGGCCGAGCTGTTGTGGATGCAGGAACATGGGCTGGAGTGTGCCTCTCGGAGTTGTGTGGACAGTGAGCCGACGAAAGAGGACGAAGCCGCCAGAGCGCAACCGGCTGCGACGCCCGAGGGTCCGCCTGACGAGGCATTTGAGGGCACTGGGGAACATGCAGAGAAGGACGCGAAGGTGTTGTGCCCCGAAGCGGTGACGAGAGTCGCCGTCGCTGCGGAGTATTTCATCCACGCGGCACCAGTGATCTTGGAGGAGAGCCTGATCTGGCACACTCGCGGCCCTTTCGATGACCAAGAGCAGCGGATCTACCGAGCAGGACCGCTGTTTGCGGGCACTTTCGGATTTAACCTGGAGAGATGGGGATTCTGGAAGAGGCGGTTGGGGGAGTTGAAGAGTCAACTTGGAGACGAAGAGGTGGAGAGGAATGTGGACGAAGCGTTGGAAAAGATGAGTGCCGTTGAAGTGGCTGTAGCTAGACATCTGTAGTATACTCTTGAGAGAACCCTCAGTTGAAACGGTGCTTGCATTCACATGGCTTGCGTCATATCACGACCTTCACTATTCATTTGGGGAACAACTTGAGCAACAGCACCAATCTGTATTCATCGAATAACTCTGCCTCGTGTACAAAGTAAAGTTGCGTTAGGAAGTGAATTCTAAAACTCAATATCAATCCCAGCATCGCGTCTTCCACCGTCGTCAATCTGAAGTCGTCCTCCGCCACATAATAGGTCTGCGCCAGTGCCACTTGGTGAGGTAGATCCGGTACAGCTCAAGCCTCTTGAGGTTCCAGCAAACTTGCGCGCCAAGTCGAGTTCGAGTTCCTTAGACGCAACCGTTGGGTCGGTTGGAAAGGCACTGGCGAACACATGTGGTGCCAAGCTTGACATCACGCGACCATCCAGAGACCAACGCATTCGCCTTGCAGCGGTTCATGGTTTTGACGGCAGCGTTGAACAAGTGCTGGGTCCTGGATCCGCTAACCCGTCTGCTCCAGCTGATGCAGCAGCGGTTGTTGGTGCTGACATGGACATCGGCCCAGCACCAATAGTTGGCAGCGGGCAGGGGCTGGTTGACGAAGGTAGGGCCGCCGAGGATGTCGAGAAGGCGGCCGCAGATTCCGGTCCGAGCCTGGTTGGTTTTGCTGCAGCTGATGGTGTTGGCACCGCAGGTCTGGCGGGTGTCGAGGTCGGCGGCCTCGAGGTCCCGTGCGTCGATGGCGGGAACGGAAGGGTCGACGAAGCCTTCGAGGAGACCGTTACCGAGGACTCCGGCGTACACGAGGTCAGGGGCAGATGCGTTGGTAGCGGCTAGGAGCTCGGCCTTGCCCTCGAGGGGGTCGATGACGGCCTCGGGGTCTTGCTCTCGAGTGGAGAGGCCCTCGGGGGCAGCGAGGGCAACTGAGGCGAAGTAGGCGACGATAGCGACGGTGAAACGCATTGTGATAGGTTTTTGAGCTTGGTCTAAAGAGAGGCAAAGTTGGATAGAAGAAGGATGAAAGAGAGACAGTGATGTTTTGAGGCCTGTTGTTTCTTTTTGATGCTGTTGGTGAGCTGATCAGAGATGTTGGAAAGTCGGGACGCAAACCTGTTTATATACGTTTTCTCTTCATAGGATTTCCCTAGACTTCTACTCCCTTCTACAAGCAAAACAACTTCCGGCCCGAAGCACATGCTTCCTAGCCCGTCTGGAACGAGACTTTCGCGACGCTCTTCTCATGAGCTCTCAAGTTACTTCTTACTGCTGTATTCGATCTGGTCGAGGAGCTGAGACTATTAGCTGAGACGACGAGCTGACATGTCTCGATAACATCGAGGGATAGCAAAGTGATTCTTCGGATAATGATCGTATTGAATACTTTGTATGGCTAAGTCAACGCCTCAATAACGTTTGTAACAGTCTGCCCCACGGGGTCGTTGATGCAATGTCAGCTCCTGTCTTGCTAGAGTTTCTAACGTGCGCCACTTGCTGCGGCATGCCAGGCTCGCGCCGTCCAAACCACTCTCCACTGTCACCAGCTCTGCAAGGCTGGCGATAGTTTCACACATGATCAGATCTTGCTTTCACGCAGAGGCCTTGACATTCCAGGATGTAAGCCCTATACCAATTATCTGCCAAACTCGACACATATCGACTCTGTCTCAGACATACTTCTAAGGGTACTTGATTTGGCATTGACCCGGCGGCACAACCCGAAGACGCTTGGCATAACCTGAGCCAAGAGGCTTCAAGGATCGAAAAGGCCCGCTTAAGTGAATAATTGAGAGAACTTCTGGGTCTTGTCTTGGGTGCCTGAAGAGCCTTGCAGCGCGCCGAGCCGCTCATTAATTTTGGACCGCTCCAGATTGGCCGGAGCATTGGCCGAGCTGAGACGATCAAGACAACAGGGTGATCCTGATCCATATTAGGCAGTACCAGGTCGCAACATCGGAGCATAGTTAGTTATCAAGAATGCGCCCCGCGGCTCAGGGACGATCGAGTAAAACAGTTTCATGCGCCCCGACGTCAACTGGCATCTTCTGTATGGCAGGAAGCAGGTTCAACCAGACTTTCAATCTCGGCCTGAGCGGGATGAAGGGCGAAAATTCGCCGCCTAACTCAAGAGGCTTGAACTGTACCAGATGAACCTCGTACGAGGCGCACCTGAATTATTTGCTTGACTACAAGTGAATGTTGGCATCACGTAAGAAGAACTGGTTATAGCGAAACATTACTGGTGAATGGAATGATCAAGAAGACCTTGAGGCATGCACCTCTTCCCGTCTTAGATCTAAAATCTGATGATTATAAGGGTTGAGGCCCAACTAGTACCCCTTAGGTCTTTTGAACCTTACCTGTCTCATCTAACATGCCGTTATGTCATGCAGTCTCCAGATTTCTTCCAGGTGAAAGCGATGATCCGAACAGTGAAGGCACTGCTAGACTTCACAGCAGGCTCTTATCATACAACTGGGCAAAGGTTCATTCCTTTACACCCGAGGCACGAAGGACCTTTACAGGCACTTCGATCTAACCATCTGAGAGAATTTAAACGTGTTGAGAAGCAGCCGATGTGCTAGCTACCGCCTCTACAACATTGCATTCTGCATTGCCCATTCTTTATCGGCCCCAGGATTACCCAAAACATAAGAGGGGGGCGAGCGTCCCCCAGTAACAGCGCCTCCCGCAGGAGAGCCGAAAATTCTAGCTACGCAGCGGCGATTGCGATTCCATAGGTTCCTCCAGTCCTAGCAGTGCTGTCTGGTTTATCGATCTTGTTGACATCTCCTTCGGTCTTTCTAGGCGACTTTCTCCATGGCCGCTTTTCTCGAAACCTGTTTAATCTTGAGACTTGGGTGTACACACGTCGGCTATATCAGCGTCTGGCCCATCTGGCGGTGAGCAGATGTGAGAACCAGCGGCTTCTCGGAGTAATAGAAACCATGAATAGCGCTGCCAGTCGTCCTGACCATGCTTATCAATCGGGGTTCAACCCGACTTGAAAGGAGACAGCGGGGCCCTGAACGGGACTTTGGCTCAACCGCTGAAGACTTGAAGCGTGTTCTGGTGCCTTTTCTGGATACCCCCCCTGTAAGTGATCATCATATTTTCCGCTTTTTACTCTTTGATGCAGACGCTAGGGCTTCTCCTGTCCCTGTCAGGAGCGGGCCGCCATGCAGGCATCTACCGAGAACTGTTTAGCTTGGAGAGAGATCTTGGACAAGGTCCACGGAAAACAAGTAGCAGTCGTTCATTGGGAAACACATGAGCGTTGATGAACAGGAAGCCGAGTCATTGTTCAGTTTAACAACAAAGTCCACATTTGGCCATGCTTAACAAATTGAAAGTTCAAGAATTACATTCTTCACTAATCCGAAAGTCTCTTCATAAACTTCCACCTCCCATACATAAAAGCATTTCCAGCCTGAACGTCCTCGCATGCACGCAATAAGATAAAAACATAAGACAAAACTTCAGGGCCCTGGGTATCTTAGGTGTAGACAATGATGGCGCCGACGTTCTGGTTGGATGGGACGCTGAAGCATCCGCCACCGGTGCCGGTCGCAATCTGCGTGCTGCAGGTGTTGCTGCTGAAGAGGCGCCACTTGAAGGTGCGGCCGTCGTCCGGGAACAAGAAGCGGACGGAAGCGGAGTCGGCGGCGTTGGGGTCATAGAGACCGTTGAACTTGGAGCAAACGGCGAGAGTCTCCTCGTGACCGGTGAGAGAAACTCCGTTGCCGTTGCCACAGCCGTTGGGGTACCATTCGACGAGGTACAGAGAGTTGGGAGGGATCTGCGAAGCTTGACGAGCAGAAATGTCGTTGACATTGTCGCTAGAGTTGCGGAAAGTAGGCGATGCCACGACGGCAAGAGCCGAGGAAAAGAAGGTAGCGATATGCTTAATAGAAACCATGATTACGAGTCTTGGTATGCTGGAGTTGGAATTGATACTGGTGAAGACAAGAAGTGAAGAGAGAGACTGGGGTTGAGATGTCTAGATGGGTTGATGAGGGCCAGATTGCATTCTTTTGGAAAGGCGGACGAGAGAATAAGTATTTGTAGAACTCCAGTCGGTGAATATCTTGCCAAATAAATCTACCAAAGTCCCTTTCGCGACTTGATGATATTTTGTTGCCTGCGTCTCTTCAAGGGGTCCCGAGCAAACGCCTCGAGCCTGATGATGATCTCAATGATGATCAGCCAGGTGGCATGGATGTGAAGTCTTCAGTGACTCCTCCGCCAGTTGGGCCCTGTAAAAGTGGCGCCTTCATCGGCCAAGCCCTGTAATCGTAGGAATGGTTCCCACTCCTTGCAATATCCAACGAGAAAGGGCTTCTCTAGGCATATACCTAGTCTTATCAAAAACCTAAATTCAGCCTTTTCTATGGTCGAATGTCAACCTGCGTGTTGATCTTCTATTTCCGGAATCATTTCTTTCAACCACAAACAGAATTTTGGAAGCCTGGAGAGGCTATGTCGCTGCGTCGCGTGGGGCTGATGTGAAGCTGTAGCCTGATGCAACCCTTCGTAGATTTTGTGGCCCAAGATCGACAACTGCCGGAAACCCCTGATGGAAATGTGGAGCTGCCGAGAGGGTCACCCAAAGGGACTTTGGAGTCGATCAACAACTTCAGCAGAGCTATGTGAGCACTTAGTAGCCTGATCTAACATTAGAGAGACTTTTGGCTCAAGATCAAGATCAACAGCTGTCAGATTAAACCCGGTTCAGGATGTGGATAAGCTGAAAGCATTAGGCAAACGCAAAGAACTTTGGGGACGATCATCAATTCACAACTTCTCAGAGTTTAGACAGTTCGGATAGATCATTGCTCATGCGAAACAACTATAAAGACGAGTGTCTGTAACACCATCATTCGGGCTTTCCTCATCATCCATAACATCATCTCAATACACAAGTCTATCCTTCCATCCCATCAACAGTACTTTGATCTCATCTTCAGCTCAACTATGAAGCAATCGTTCATCCTTCCTGCGGCGTTCGCTGCCCTGGCCACTGCCCAAGACGTTTCTTGGTGTAAGTCTGAGGGATGCAACGACTGCCCTTCCTCCATCGCCAGCAGTGGTCCCGGATACCCTGAGTGTGTCATTTACGACACCAACACCGTCTTTGGTGGCCAGGGCTTCAAAGAGGGCACCGGCAAAGTGAAGTACCTTGTCTGGGGTGACTTCATCGACCCTTGCGGCGGCCAGCCCGGTAGCTACATGGTCCGATCCCCAGCCAGCTTGACTACAACTGGTTGCGGAGATCTGATCTACCACACCGAGAATGCCGAATGCTCTAGCCAGCTTCGCATGGAGGATACCTTCAGTAAGTAAAAGAAGTCTGCAGTCTTGAATCAAATTCTAACAATGAAAACTAGTGGTTCAATTCTGCTGCGGTTCTGGTGACTGCGAGGCAGCTGGTGTACCATGGGGTCGCCGCGACACCGAGGGACGCAGCGTCGGCAGCGGACTCCAGGGTGGCTACCTCAAGTTCGCCAACGGCACCGTTATCGAGCCTCTCGCAGTTGGCTCTCCTCCGAAGGACAACACGCTGAAGGCCACTGAGTCTCGCAACCAGGCTCGTTGCACTGGTTTCAAGAGCAAGTCTTACCAGGCTAACGGCGAGCCCTACCTCACCACCTTCGACACTCAGATTGTGTCCGGATCCGTCCCAGCTGAGGAAACCGACCGCACCATCACCATCACCTACGATCAATCCGTTTCTCGAACCACCTCTTTCTCAGCCTCGCTGGGTGACCCATTTGGCGTGGTTTCTGTCTCCGTTGGCTTTGAGTTCAGCGACTCCGAGAGCAAGGGCTTCCAGACCGAGCTGACTGTCTATGCCGGAGAGACTGGCCGGGTCGGTTTCACACCTGTCTATCGCTGCACTAAGGGCACTTTGGAGACGTGCAGTGGCGACCGTACCTCGGAGGAACACACATGCACCCCATGGATCTTGAACGGTATTGTCCAGGGTGACTACCGTATCGTCCAGACTTAAGATGTTAGAACAAGATATTGGTTTTGAAAGAATGAAAGACTTCCGTGTTTACTTGACAGCATTTGGAAAAAGAGAGGAATCTTTTAGCGTTATGAACATTTCCACTTCACAAGTTATATTAATAGACCAGAGATTGAACGTTTCTAAGCTTTTCCATTCACGGGGTGGAGCATCACAGGTTGCCTGTTTGTCACTCCTCGTCTTTTCAGTAGATTTTAGAGTGTCAAACGCAGCTAAACTCACGTAATGGCATTCATTCAAAGCGGTAGCATATGCTGCTCTGGCTGAAAACTCCTGAATACTTTAGTGTTCTCACTGCACGCACGCGCAAAACGCCAGAACACCAATGTCCCATACGGGCTTGTTATTGCCCGTCTTGTGAAGGTGATGTCTTCAGTCAGTTTAGGGGCGTCAGACTTGAATGGATCAATGTATAGACCGGAAGTCTAACTGCACTTTCATAAAGGTAGGGGCTTTAGTGACATTTCTTTTGCGCAAACTTGCAAATACCCCATCAACTGCCAGTAGAATAAACCACTTAAACTCAGCAAACGCCATTGATTTGCTGTGATTCTGCTTTGCAGTAAAGTTAGCTATTCGCTAGAAGAAAGTGCAAATCACATCAAGTCAGATTAATCCTGGATTCCCATATAGTGTAGTCTACTATCACTGATAGGGCGCTGCGCTTTATACCATAGCAACCATACCATCTTGTTCAGTAATATTTACTGCAGACAAGAACCACTGGTAGGGCTGGCTGACCTTAAGTCAGTCTATGTTCAAATATGTCCTGGTGATGAAGTTTATATTAAGCCACAGGAGCTCACTTATTACCTTTCACATCAATTCGAGGGAGTTAAATGCTGTACGCGCAAGTACAAATGAAATAGGATAATCAAGTAAATGTACATGTATTACGTGCACTTAGAGCATGCTGGTTGTGCTCCTCTATTAGAGCACAATGGCCTCCCGGACTTTCACCACAATTTAAGCAAATGAACGCATCATGGAGCTGCTCTTTGGTCATGTTCACGAGAAGGCCGAAAGAATGTTTCGCCACCACCCGTCCTCCGATCCTATACATCGCAACAGCAGTGTGTCAAATCATTTGGTCAACAGCTCGTTGCAGAAAAGCATTTCGAATTCGTGTTTGTTCCTCGTATTCGATGTTCGCCTTGACGTCATTCATTGCCTGCTCAACATTCAATCGTCCTTGATTTGTCGCCAAACATGACCCTGTCCTTTTCTTTTGAAACGTTGGCCCAGCCTTTGGCCATTTCTTAGCAAAAGAAGCTGGAATGAAGTGACAAATAAGTTGTTTCATGAATTCTCGCGGTATTCCTCCGAATTGGATGGCACGAGGAAAAGAAGTCAAATATCCAAGGGTGTTGGGTGATATCCAAAGACAGAGAGTCCAAAACCAACCATCATCTCGCTCAATCAAGGATGCAGCCAATGAAAAACTGTCAATGGCCGTATCTTGAACCGTTACGAGAAAGTATACATCACTGATGATAAAGTGATGATGAGTAACCGAGTCTACTTTCGCTCGGCGACCCACGTGGTGCAACTGGAACTATATGCAGAGTCGCACTCGTCTAAGACGAACTAGACACACTGTCATTGATTGCAGCCTACAAACCCTGGGCTCGCAACATGCCCCAGCCGGATCCAGTATTGTCATCTGGGCGAGCGCCGATTGGATGACCTGAACCTTACCCCGGGCATCTTCTCTCCAGCATCCCGTCCAACACGATACGATGAACAGAACCCACCCACCCACGTCCGCCAAGATGCACCAACAGCATCCAGCGTACAATTCCCTCGGCCGTGCCTGTTGGAGCCATAGGAAAGGTTTGCCGTGTCGGCTAGAGCTTGCCGGGAACAGCTCGCTAGCTGCCGGGCAGGACATACAAAAGGCCAATAACCCAGCAGGCGATGAGAAACGTGGGCCGCGATATTGTCAACTGCGATCTCCTCGCCACATCGACGACAGAATGTTGCACCACGTAGTGGCCCTCGTGCGAGTTTTGCTCCTTGCGGGCCCTGCCGTTGCCGCGCCTTCGGCTTCAAGCCCACTTTGGAAACGAGCAAATGGCAACGCCTGTGCAGAGATTGGCAAGGCCTACGACGGGGCCGTGCTAGAGAACACGACAGGTATGTCAACCGTAACCTTCCCACGAGGTGTGCACGACGGCGATGGCGGACGCGAACTCACGTGCGTGAGGCATGTAGAGAAACTTGCGGTGAGACCCTCCTTGGCGTTCGACTGCCTGCGCTCGGTCCCGGTCGATGTTGAGAGAGACGTTACGCTTGTCAAATACCTCAGACCATGGCTCGAGTTCCAGAGCACTGTCGGCATTCTGCAAAACCCCCCGGAGGGATACCTCTACCCCGGCGTCGATATCTTTGGGGGGCTCACCAATATCACCCAGATACTGAAGGCCGGTGGCTACCAGTCACAGCTCGACTTCGCAAGCGACCTGTATCGGCTGATTAATGTCAAGCCCCGTGACGGCCATCTGGTAATTACCCCTGTGATAGGCACTTTATTCAGTTTTGAAACGCCCGCTCTCTTTGTGTCAATCTCCGAAGACGGTATCGCGAATCCCAAGATCTACCTTCACTGTAAGACGATGGATGACCCTGTGCCTATTTGACGAACAAGACCTGCTGACCCCAGGCTAGCCGACTATGAGAAAAGTGTGGAGCAAGAGTATATTGCTTCTGAGGTCGTCAGGTTCGACTCGGTTCCCATTGTCGACCACGTCCAGCAGCGAGCCGTTGACAACTCCCGAGACCAAGACCCTGACGCAGCGTATAACAGTCAGCTGTACAGTGCTGCCCTGGCGAACGTCCTCGAGACTACTGGGGCCCGTCAGTTCCTGTAAACCACCCTCGCGGACGAA